ATCTTCTCACTCCATATCCCACATTAATGCAATCACTCAAAAAATTTTCACCAGAAAGCATTCGCGCTATTGCTCGAAACCCAAATATAGACTTACAATCAATAGGAATCTATTCAAAATCAGATATTCAACATCACATTAGAACACAACAATTCCAAGAATTATTAACACAAATGGACACTATACAAAGACAATCAATAGACCAAAACTTACGCAAACTTGCAGAAACCGCAGGATTTGCCGATATCTACACGCAAGACTATAGCGGATATTTTAAAGACATTAAAGATTATATATATCTAAACGGCGAAAAATACCGTCCCCAAGATATATCACCAATCAACATTTTTAGCTTTGTTACACTCAAGAATGAAATCCTTGATTTTCTAGGATGGCCCTACTACATCTTAGAAAAATTGACTATTTTATACGCAATGTTTAACTTTATTGGATTTCTTTTCTCACTCTTAAAAGGAATCTACAATACATGTGCTATACACACACAAGTAAACAGACAAGCAAGCGTAGCACGCATACTCTTTGCAGGATTTTTTGGAATTTTTTCCACATCTATAAACAAAATTCTTTTAGACGCACAAATAAAAGAATATAACACAAAAATAACAACACGACAAAATACATACGACGAAGAACATAACAATGTCGACACACAGCCAACGGCACCACAATTACCACCCCTACCAAATAACCATCCACTATCCCTAGTCCCACGAAATTTTCGAAATTTAGCAATCACACATAATCCAAATTTTCGACTCAATACATCGCAAAGTCCCGTCCAACATATAATAACACATCAATCACAAGATGATAATACTTATGAACAAATTATTGAACAGCCCCATACCACCGCTTTTCAATCTCAAAATAATAATTTTTTTAGCCCACGATGAGCCGCCAACTTGGATCACTACACCGATCAAATTCCCATCCAACCAATCTTACCTCTCCAATCCCAATCATACCACTTTTTGCTTTTCCGCCACCCGATTTTCCATCTAGCAATGTAACATCAGGCATGAATTCCGACACTAACTCACATATTTCAGTTTTATACTCCATCTCACAGCTAAATAACCCGAATATTGACACCCCCGACGAATTTGCCGACTCAGAACCATCCCCATCCAATAATTTTCATAACCCTTCTAATTTTTCTCAACCCCCTTTTCAACCCATATTATCAAATAACCCTGACCCAATCACTCCCACACCCTCTTATGCTTCCCAAGTTACCCCAACCTACTCCTCATACCATTCTGACCAATCATCTCATTCTCCAGACACCCCCCGAATCTCCCCAGAACTAGATAATTTTATTACCCTCCAACAACAACCCTACCACCTTAACACCCCGACCATAAACCAAATCTCCTCCACTACAAATTCATCCAATCCCCCTACACCCTCTTCAAATTATACTGAATCATTAACACCATCATCCACATCCACTATATCTTCACTAAACACTAATAGAGCTTACCGCACTTTTAAAAGAAAATTCCCCAACCATCCTTTCCCAGCAAAACCAGGAACAGCCCGTGAATACATCAACCACCCCCAGCATACTAACACTAAAGAATTTTTAGCTATCACTTTACCCTCATTTCCACAATACACCTTAAACACCCCTCACGACGCTAACGAAACACGCAACTTTGTAGATGAATACGTTTTAATGCCCACTCTCTCTTGGACCTCATATTATCATTTTACAAACCCTCTTTGCTTACCTTTATCTAACACTCACATCGATATAGAGCGAAATAAGGACATGCTATATCAACTCACTACACCACTAACCGCTAGACAATTTACTTACGTTGGATATAAAAAATCACTAAAAATACACACTGCACCTAGAGCTAATGAATATACACTAGAATACTACGATCACAACATCATTAGAGCTAACCAAGATCAATTCTTAGACGACGATCGCTTCGCTAATCCACAAATCACCGAGAAATTTTTCATCAAGACACCATATGTATTTACACTAAACATCTTCGACCGAAAGTTTGATCACATTATTTCAGAAGCACTAACAAACACACAAGCATACGAAAGTTTTAAAGAACGCTTCCAAATCTTTTCACTAACCTTTCATTTCCTTGCACCACACGAAAGAGATTTACACTGCTCACACGATATTATGTTGCGCACTAAACAAACACATACATACAGTTACTATCGTTTCATCCAAAATCACTTTGACCTCCACACACCCTCTAGACAACCACACCATCGTTTCCAATTCATCAATTCAAAATACACTTCACCGTTTTTCCTAAATTTCACATATTGTATTAAAGACACTAACCTCCATGGTATTCTTCGTAATTATGACCCCATAACCCAAATGTACATTTTCTGCCCCATCACCAAGACCTTCAACGCCGAAGAATCCCGACCCTTCCTTATCCCGCACGAGTTTGTACAACCCATAGAAATCCCAATTTTAGAATTCATCCACAACACTAAATTCAATCACAAATTATATAATCTAATCCAAAACACACCTTATGAGTTTGCAGTAGGCACTGAAGAACTAACCACTATTAAGGCACTTCAATTGCTTTGGCCACTGCTTCAGACTAAAAATATCATCCGCATTCTAGCTAAACTACTAACAACTTCAGAACTAATTCACGACATCTTCCCCCACGGTTTTTTCCCCGACGACTAACAGGTAAGTATGAATTAAGTAAATATTACTAACTAATTACAGTATTAAAAACTCACCATTCTTTATTCATGTTTTCTTTAGATTTTTAGCCTTCATCCTAGATCATCTGAAAAATTCACAAAAGAAAAATAAAAAATAGCAAACTTCTTCAAAACTGTTTAAGACCCTATTAAACTTTTGCACCAACAATTAAATAAATATAATACCAATGCAGTAAATTAATTTATAAAATTTTCCCCCAAAAGCAGTAAATCTACATATGATGAAAATTTGTATCTTAAAATTCCCCCATAACTAGCAGTAAATTTCCAAATTCTATGCAGTAAATTAATAAAATGCAATTGCAGTACTAACCTTTTGATATTTTCATTCATTCGCACAGAAATTCTATCCACACTCGCACAGCTCGCCCACGAAGAATTGTTTAAAATAATGAATTTCAGTTTCAAGTTTTCACACTCAACAACTCTAACATACAATAACATGTTTCAAACTTTCCTTTAACCCGGTTGGAAAGGAATCATATACTAAACAAAACTAACCAACGCAGCTTACTAAATACCACAAATCATAGAATAACAGCATGACTAAGAAAAGGAAACCAACGGTACCCAAACCGGATTAACCCAGTTTAAAACTGGATAATTTATTCTTTTGAAGACTATTACAAAGTCTTAGAAAGAAATAATAAAACACAAAAAAGTCGAAAGACAAACCCATACCACAAACAATTTGATTTTTGAAAAAAGGACACAACCAACGAAACATAAGAAAAACCACAACAAACCCAACATAAAACGTTGTCACATAACAGGACCCCTCACAAAAACCGCATGAAATCATACTCCCACTCCTGGCCTAACCCACCAGGAAGGACGTCCTGAGCATGCTCTATAGCCGGCCTAACCCACCGCGCTACATCCACGCTTTGTGACCACACCTTTATTTTTAATAAGAGCTACTCAAGGGTGAGTAACTCTTCAAAATAACCGAACTAAAACAAAAAGCTTTTGTGAAAACAACTAACTAAAATCATTATTAAAAAATATTAAACTAATAAAAGTTTTATAAAATGTAAAATCACATGATGCAATATATAGATCAGAATACAACACCAAGGACGAACATCAAAAGACAAGACGACCTCACTACACTCGAGAGAGAATGACCAACTACAATCGATATGCCGCTCACAATCACAACTCAAAGGATTTAGAGTACGACTTGACTTCGCAGAAAAGGACTTCATTGAACTAGACCAATGACCACCTCGATGTTCAAGTATACGTACAGATCCGAGTAACCAGGCATCCCCTCCACGCACAATCTCCACGCCATTCCCAAGCTAGATCAGACACAAAAGAAGTTCTCCCCGAAGAACAGAAAAACCTGACATAGCCAACCATTCTGAAATCAGAATTGATTTTGTTGCAGAGACTCAGTCGTTGTCATAAGAAGAAGCGGAAGAAAATTATGATGTTCGCCAAATACCAACGTCCATCATCCACCCTTGAATTACAGAAGAACTGTTCTAAAAAACTCTGTAAAACCCGGATGGGTGGAACCTGATCTAAACTATATTTTATGATTGGATAAATTAAATGTTTTACCAATGTAAAGTTTTTAATATTAACCAATCATGATCCATCTAACTAACAACCCACTTATTTGTAAGTGCTGAAGTTACTTGTAATTTCAGCACCAGAGAGATTTGAATTTAACTTAGAAATTAGTTGGACTCTCCCGAGCACTTCAGCAGCCGCAATAAACCAGTATACCCTAGATCTATTGAGCCTAGCAGAGACTAGTTAAACAACCTGAGACTAGATAGTATAAGAGTAAGATTAGGATCGGTATTAGACTAAGAAGTTGCACGAATCTATCCGGCCGAAAATAAGATAGCGTGACGAGCAGACGGTGTACCCTATCCGAAATTACTCTATGAGTTATACACCCCAGTCTTAACTCAAATCATAAAATTCCGAAGAAGTTTTTATGTTAAAGAATACTTGAAAACAGTTGAAAGTGTTCGTCAATTCAAAATGTCGGTCAATTTTGATAAATTTTAGTCAACAGCTTATTATATTTTTGAGTCATTTGAGTTGTGTTTTTCAAATTGACGTCAGTTTAAAAGGGTTGTTGTTTTATTTTTTGTTTTCGCGAGATCATAAATTGGCCGATAAATGGCTTTGCCTACCTGGCTGGCAATTGATTCATTCTTATTCGTTAATGTGATTTTTCTGGGATTAAAGAATTCTTGGTTTAAGGAAGATGATTTTCTGGGTTTCAGTGGCTCTGAGTTCTTAGCTCTGGTGAAATGCACAGTATGTAACAATGTCTTCCATCCTGTCTGCTTGAAAGAAGCAGATATCTCAGAAACACCCGATTGCTGCAAAGACTATCCGAAAAGTGTAGTAGCTCAGGTAATGTTTCAAAGTTCGGCTCTTTTTTGTGTTCAGAATCGGACATTTTCACTTGTCTTTTGTTCGGTTTAGAGTAAAGAAGTGTGTGCTTTGAAACCATATTTGAAGAGGGGCAGAGATACTTTCAAAACTAATTTCGTACCAACAGCGAAAAGGTAAACTATTTTTTTTTTCGTTTTGATTTTTTAATCAAGCTGCTTCATACATTTTCATCATACGCTATCTTCAGAAAACTAAGCATAAGTGTTCTGTTAATTTTCAGGTATTTGACAAAGAAACAACTTCAAAATATTCTCGACGAAGACCCAAACATATGCTATGTTGAGGTTCCTGCTAATATCAAGAGGCAGTATAATCAGCCTAGTTCAACAGGCTGTCAATTGTACTGCAAGGACAAGGTGATGTTTCCATAGTTCAAGTTTTGATTGTAATCGCTGCTATTTTACCAACAACCTCGTAAATTCAAATAAATGTTTTAACAATGCTAATCTCATAGTTTTCTTGTGAGGAAAATTTGCTCTTATTTTTTCACTTATTCACATTCACTTGTTTTAATTTGATTTTTTACTGCAAAGGCATTTTTGGAAGTAGTTTTTTCTCAAAAACATAATTGTTTTCTGCAAAAAAGTCGAAAACGTCGGTCAAATATTTATCTAATGTCTTAACTAATGTTGTGATACTTTGTTGATGTAATTACCAGGCTCATCTGAAAACTGAAGCATTGGAATTAAAAAGGAAGATGTGCGATGATCAAAGCAACACAGAAAGCTTGAATTGGAACGCAAGAAACTCTGTTAATATTTCGCAGGTAATGGTTATATCACTAATAGCCAAGTGTGTAAATAAAGTGGCGGTAGTAAAATGAGCCAATGTGAACTATCTCCCCCCTGAAAAGACCAAGTGATCAATCCCCCTCCCCCTAAAATTATATGGCAAGTTCAATAAGTAAGACCTGCAGGTACAATATTCAAAATCTTATTGGATGTAAAGTATTACTTTAAACCAAGTCAACGAGCTCCTCCCTAATTTGTTTAAGGGGGAGGGGGGATTGCTCACTTGGTACGTTTAATGACTACCATTCGTCATACAATCCCGGAATTAGTGATTGCAGAACAGAATGATGAATCTATATCTTATATGATATCAGCTCATGCGTTGGTCGTTTTCGATGTTTCTATGAGCAAAATACTATTTTATCTTTTTCGAACATGTATATTTTGGTTTAGGTGCGAATCCACATCTTTCTCGCTTGGTCCTGGGTGTTTGTAGGAGTGACCCATGGTTTTAATAAAATTGCTCTCCATTCTTAGGTTAACCAAATCGGTTATCCCAGCTCTCCTAGAAAACGTAAAAAATACTATGTTGCCAAAATTATTTACACACTATATGTTGCCAAAATTATCTAGATGCAAGCAAATTATTGAAAACAGAGGAAAAAATGTTTTTCGGCGCTTTCCCCTCAAACTCAATGCATTGGCGCCAAAAAAAATCCGCGTGTATAAAATCAAGATCACTTTACTGTTCAATGACTGTTTCAGAACACAGTTATGGCCGCCCTGCTTTTGGTTGACTGCAACTTCAACGAAATTTCGCAGAGAATTGACATATGTGCAGATCACAACGTTTTCACTATTGGAACGAGTAAGTTGGTGTTTTAAATAATTTTAAAGTCTTTTTGAAGTGTCGATGAAAGAGGAATGATTATTAGTTTAAATTGGAGCCAAACTAGCACAGACTAGAATACCTTTTGAAGAACACCTGACTATTATTGTGAAAAATATAACCTCTATTTGAACTTTAAGGGCAGATCCATGTGCGTTTCAGACCAATGCAATTGCGATTTGAAACTACCAGAGTTGAAAAAGTGTCAGTTTGTGTCATCAATCCACTGTCGAGTTTACTTTGTGCAAGAAGAAGGTCAGTTTGAGCTGCTTAATTACAGTTGTCATGGAACAATGGTGGATAATATAGTTTACAGCTACCAAAGCGCGGCCGAGGATTCTGAAAAGGAGAGAAGTACATTGGGCGGTGGATTCAAATGCGACTGCGATCATTCGCTATCATCGCGGTCAGCAGCAGAATTGAAAAACGACGCTAATGCTCGTCAATGGGAAGGCGCTGCTGTTTTGTACCATGGCTCTACTATCAGAATCGGATGTTTGGACTTCGTTTTTGCTGTTGCATGAATTTCTATAGTGGGAAACTGATGTTGTCTAGTTAGAACGGACTAATGGCAGACGTCACAGGTTTGCTGCTAGTTACCGGGTCTGGAGTCAAAAAAACATGGGAGAAGGTTGAATCTCAGAAATCAGAACGAATGAGAAAACAGGCGAAATTGATATAAAAAAAACTAAAACAATCGTTTTGTTTTTCCTCATTTTATAAATTCAACTTGTTGAACCGGTCTCTAAAACCAGAAGCTGCTTAAGGTCCATTGAATGGGTGCTGGACATCAAGTCGACGAGGTTCTCAAAAGATGTACGTAGGTTGAATATGTTATATGCTATCAATGTCTTTTCATAGCTTTCAAGAAAGATATGGATGTTGTAGAATGTTTATTATCCACCAAGTTTCTTTAATCGTCACAAAAAACTAAGTATACTAACATTTTCAAACCTTTTGATGCTTTTTCAAAGCTGAAAATTGGCCCGTCCTTTAGTCCCGTCCTTCAGGTTGTGATATACTCATTGAATCAAAACTTAAATTACCGTTGGATTTTTCAACGCGAAAGTTAGAAGTATTAATGAAAAAAAAAATCACACTTGAGATTGTAATGCTTTTCTTATGTTTAATTTGTATCAGCTTTGGTATACGATTTTTGAAAGGTAGCAGAGTTTTGAACGGGCTTTCTTGATTCGATTTTTTCTTTTTTTTCTCGATTTTTGCTGTATATTTTCTTTTCACTTGAAAAAGCAAATGTCTTGTAATCGGGAACTAGACTTTTCCCGTAGCAACGCTTCTTGCAAATTTGTAAGAAATTGAGCTGCTGTATTATTGAACCTTACCGACTTTTAGGCTCCTTCCCACTTGGTATAGAGGAAACGTAATTGGAATATCTCTGTTATAAGTTTAAACGAACGATGTGAGACTCACCATTTTTGGGTGCGTTTTTCAGAAAAAGATTAGTTCAATTTCATTTGCGCATTGGCAGACAAGTTTGAATTCGAATTTAAAAGTTTATTTCGTTTTTTTTTGAGAAAGTTACAAAATATTTAAGCTCAGGATTGTTTTTAAGTGTCATTGAGCGTAATGAAGACATGTATATAGGTTGTGTTTTTTTTTCAGGAATAACCCACACCTTTTGCAGGATGCCTTTCGTAAGTTCATTTGAAATTCTGAAAGGCAGGAATGTTAGACTGTTTAAAAACCCAAGTGCAAATGGTGCGAGGAAAATTTAATCAATGAATTTTATAGGCTGCCAGCGGAATTTTAAAAAAACACCTATCGATTAACATTTATCATTATCAAATTGGGTTATTTTATGGAAAAGTTGCCAATTACAAAAAGCTTTTGAAATTCGAAGAGCTTGGTATACCTTCGGAATGGCGGTGTATCGAATAGCATAAAACTCGACTAGCTTAAATGTTTTTTAAAAAAATGTATCGACTAGCATAAAACTGCAAACAGAAAATTCAAACAAGTCCCTAGCTCGCATGTGAAACAAATACCGGCAAAACTAAATCATTATGCATAAAATATGGATCAACCGTACAATTCCAGGATCTCTTTAATTACATCCCCCATTCGGGTACCTATTAACGAATATCCCCCTTTTCCCCTTTTGCAAAAAAGGGGATAAAGCTAAAGAAATCCCAATTGAATAAACTCCCCCACCCCCCCCCCCCCTGAGTGACCTACCGTTGAATATCCCCCTTAGCCAAGATGTAATTTTGAAAACTTTTTCTGTATAAAATATGTATTTCGAACGAATTCGCTAATTAAATTTGACCAAGTTAACATCTTCACCTCCCTCAAGCCGTTTAGGGTGGAGGATCTTAACTTGGTCTTTTTGGGGAAGGGGGCTGGCGAGAGCGGATCGATCGAATTTGTTTAATCCGCCCTTTTGAAAAATACAAAATAGCACTAGTGGAGCTTTATTTGAGAATTCAAACTTACATATGCTTAAAAATCTCCCACCCCTTTGGTAGTTGATTGCTTGATTTCGCATTAGCTCAATTTTCTTTTCAGAAAAGGAAATTTGTTTCAATTTCAACGGATTATGATTGTTCTTGTGTTTCTGAGAAGTAAAGGTATCAAAGTTATGCTAATCGATACATTTTCAAACTTTTATACTAGTCGAGCGGTCATTGTTCGGAAGTTGTGATTAGTAATTCAAAACTAAGTCATCCAAGTTTTTATTTATTTTCTGAGTTTTCTCATTTTAAATTAGTAGCAAAAAGGTGCAAATGTTTCCCATGGTGAAACTTGTCATTATTTGTTTTTGTTTTCACTCGGCTGAAGCTATTTTTCTAGGGGTCTTTAATTAATAATCATCCATCCTGTTACTGCTTGCTACAGATCTCTTCCGTTAAAATGTGCAGTGGATAGGCGGGAAATTTGAGAATTTTTATGATTTGCTTAGCTAAAATCCTGGTTCTCAAGTAATGTTAAAAGCCCTACCCAAGTTTTGCAGAAAATATTATACCTCTTGTTTGTCTTCGAACCAGTTTGGCTATGTAAGTACGCTTGCGATTCAAGATGTTAATAAAATTTTTTTGCTTAAATTGTTTCTTCGGCTTAATTAAATCCGGTTGTTTGGTTGCCTCATAAGTCGGCGTTTGACGACTCAACATTATTTCATTCTACATTTTTGCTTCAAGTTTTGTATCTCAAATTGTTTGTGTTTTTTTCGGCTGAATGCTGTCTATCCAAATTTTGTCTGCACAGTTACGGCCTAGTAATTTAAGGTTTTTCAGTACTCATTTCACGATGACTGTTGCTTTTTTCAGCATCTTTCCTCAAATTCAACAAAAATCGCTTGAAACCCAATCGCGTGTATCTTGCTACAAACCTTTGCTTTGCCTCTGTGTTACAAAACTTTTTAACTTTTCTTTGTCTTTAAACCAGTTTGGTTATGTAAGTACGCTTGCGATTCAAAATTTTTATAAAAATCTTTTGCTTTAATTGTTTCTTCGGCTTTAATGAATTCGGTTGTTTGGTTGCCTCAAAAGTCGTCGTTTGACTACTCAACATATTTTCATTCTACATTCTTGCTTCACGTTTTGTATCTCAAATTGTTCGTGTTTTTTCGGCTGAATGTTGTCTATCCAAATTTTGTCTGCTCAGTTACGGCCTAGTAAATTCAGGTTTTTCAGTAGTCATTTAACGATGGCTGTTGCTTTTCTCAGCATCTTTCCTCAAATTTAACAAAAATTGCTTGAAATCAAATCGCGTGTATCTTGCTACAAACCTTTGCTTCGCCTCTGTGTTACAAAATTTTGGTAGAATTATTGTTCCGAATTTTGATATATATTCTCGGGGTGGTTTTTTGTTCCCTTGATCTGCATGGGCCCAGCCCGATATGCACACTACCATAGTAGCTACAACAAGTCTGTATAAACTTCTCGTTATGTAGTTTGCACTGGGCTAATTATCCCGCAGTACATAAATGCTTGAAATAGAATTGAGGCAAGGTAATTGGTCTGGTCTAATTTATTTCATAAACGACTCAAATTTTAACAGCTAAAAATTGATGTTATCAGTTAAAAATTTGTAGATTTGCCGATATCTAGTTTAGCAAAAACTATTCGAGACCAATTAAATGGCAGTAGAAATATTCAGGGCTTTGGTTTGAATAGTCTTGTTTCACTGTGAAAAATTTTGCTGCACTGAGCTCAGATATCAAAATGGCAACTAGCCTTTTTTAGGAGTTTGAAATATGGCACTGGCAAATTCGGGACAACTAATTCGCTTGAAGTTTCGAGTTTTCTGTCGACGCATAGTAAATACGGCAATTAAACGCACTGCGAAAATTGTTTGAAAACTAATTGAAGACCACTAATTGATGGCGCACCAAATAATGAATAAGTAGATGCTAATTATATCGTTTTAGGGGAAGGTTTTTAAAACAATCAGTTTGATTGGGAGTCGTTTTTTCAAATTTTTGAAAAATTGGGCAATAACTTGGATAAAAAACAAGACACTGTAAAGAACAGCCGAAGCATTCGCGGTTTCGCCCTATTACGAGCAGTCTCGTAAAGAGTTGATGGTTATTTATATTGCTTTTGTTCCGTCTTTCGTAACGAAAGTAACGGAATATTTGTGCGCGGGTGGGTTTTTTTTCTTCAGACAAATTTCGACTTTGTAACTAGCAATTTTTGTCGGCTATTTCAGCTCTGATCATTTTTCGTAAAGTTATGGGGGTTTAAAAATAACGATTTTACCGCGCGGGACAATTAACGCGCGATGTAATTCGCGCTATAAACGCGTAATCGGAGATTTGATCCGTCTTAAAAACCATTCCAAATTGGTTAGAGGAAGCTTAATTTCATAATTGAGTTGTTACTGGGAGCAAAATTATCATTTTGTACTGTTTATGACGTAAGTGGGAAAATTTTTCACCAAAATTCTCAATGTAAATTTTTTTTATTACATTTATTTTTTTCATTTTATTACTGCTTCATAGACCTTAAAAGGCAGTTGGAACATTCAGGATTTCGCCCTGATATGAGCAGTATTGTTTTTTTTGCTGCTTTACAGCAGACTGGTGATTAAAAAAGATAGTTCACGAGAAAGATATGTCATCTCTAAGTTGTCAAAGCGAAACTAATAGTGAATTCGAAACAATTATCAGGTATCCAATTGTCAAAGTGTAGTATAATAGTTTTTGGTGTGATGTGTAGATTTGGTGACAAACGAAATTTTTTTCGAGTTCTCGAACAAATAGAACGGTAAGCGATTAGATCAACTTTAGTTACGTATTTTTCCTAATAGATTCAAGTTTATAATTATTCGAAATATTCACTACTCTATCGTAAACAATTATTCTACCAATATATGAAATTTAACTTTTGATGGATCAAAATTTGAAAACTTTCTGACAAGAATTCACACGGGCTGTTGAATCAGATAGAAGTGACCGAGTTGATAAAAAATTGAGCCCAGTTAACTTCCAAATTAGAAGTTAGTTTACAACATAGAGTCTATTCTTGTTGGCAAATATTGATGACAACATGGCTGCTGCTATTGAAATCAAATGGAATCCTGCTTGGGTCCATAGCACGGACGAGAAACCCCCAAAATCGAAGAGAAGTCCCCCCATTACCATGCTTCCGAACATTCGTCCGCTCATTATAATCATGTTATTCCAAGCCGACATTACTGCAGTACAGTTTGAGTTCGGACTAATATTCTGGAGGACCTCTAATAGGACGTTGACCCCAGCAATGAACCCTGATACGTAGC